CAAATACATGGTGCCCAAAAACAAATTGTAAGGCAAAAGAATTCATCCAGTCGAAAACAAAAAAGAAGGAGAAATGACGATGAGCGAGCAATAAAATTTAATCGAGAGAACGAGACTAAAAGGTATACACGAATTCCAGGGTGAGATCATCGTGTATTATATATACCAACACATATTGTGTATTGATAAACGTAACGTAACAGTTTAGTGCCTAGGGATGGGTATATTCCTTACAACAAGAGATAATAGGCCCTCGTCGTCGCGGCACTTAATCGACGAGAGAGATAGAGTAAATACATCATCATCGGAGCCATCAGCCGAGATTTACTTTCGCCTCTGCATGCAGTCGATCTGTCGTGCTCCCTTCCACCCATATATTTATGTATATCATATAGTATAAACATACCGTAATTAGCACTTTTGATTATTCCTACACGTTAATTGTTATTCTTCTCGGCTTCGATATGATAATATATCGACAAAGTCGCTCGTGAGGATTTAAAAGGGAGAAAAATCTGACGATCGGTATGATCATTTGCTTCCACTGACAAACGACGCTCGTAGTCGACGTGAAAGTCGTTGACGAGCCACCAAATGCCTCCGAGGCAACAATAGAAGAGAGAAAGATGAGGAGGGGGGGAGGGTAAATTCAAATTGATCGAATTTCATCTCTGATGTCATCGTGGGCTTTTCGTCGCCGATGCTGACGCGACTACCGTACATTACAAATTAATATCGATATCGTTTTTTGTTCGACCCAACTCGACGAACCAACGAAAGTAAAAAAAAACTACACCACAAAAGTTACAATCCATCTGCCTCCGATCAATTATCAAGCCATTAGCACCCCGTAACCCCATAAATTGTAGGTACAGCCGAGAGAAAGAGATACACATCCCCCTCCACCCCCCGTTTGCGGTTCAGCAAACTGCACGCGCTGCGTAATACCATATACACGTGCTATTAGGTTTCATTATATATACACAAACGTTAAAGGAGCAATGCATCACCTATGTCGTTCTAATTGGACTCTTATTTTCTTTTTCCTCCGATCGTACGATGCGTATACTATATAAAACTACCCTACACCTACCCCTAGAAAATCGCTCGTCGAGCCATATGTATACCCGTGGGGCCCTCCAAAAGCAATTATATATAGGTACGCTGAACTTCCCAACTATACACCCAAATGAACGTGATGCAAAAAAACTTGACGACTCTACGATTACATTACATGTGTATGTGTATATACGTGTATAGGTGCAGAGGGAAACTTACCGGGGAGAGCGAGATTTCCGCAAACTCGTCTAAAAGTCGCGCAAACTGCTCCAGCGATGGATGGAGGGAGAAGAAAAAATTCTTCACTCCAACTTCCGTGTAATCGAATGTAGCGATTCACTAGCGCATCCCGTGGAAAAAGATAAGTGCACGTGTAACGACGCACTGCCCATAAGTACTGGTGAGTAATTTTTGGGCGCACAAGGGGTAATACTTAGTAGTAATAATTATAAAAAAGAAAAAAAAAAAAAAAAAAATGTTTTTCAATTATCGTTGAAAGGAGCGAGACGTGCACGCGCGCTTGAGCGAGGGGTAAGTAGAAGAGTGGTTTTCGGTGCGAACGGCCAGCGCGTTGCCGAGCGACTGTTGCGCGTCCCGCGAACCGACCCGCGCCAGCTTTTCCCTCTTTCTCTCTCTATATACACCATCATCCGGTCGCCGCATAGTTGTTCGGGTTGTTCCCTCCTTTTTCCTCTTCCGTACTCGCGAGTACCCGCTTTTTGCTCGATGTATGGGTAAGCGTTGCAAACAGAGTCAGTGTACATACACACACATTCGTGCGTCGAGAGATGCGCACACCTACCCCGTGGAGCTATATATGCACGTATAGCTGTCTGTTCGCGCGGCTGCGCTGTATATTTTGCCCTTCTGGGCTGCACCAGGGGGTATACACTACATTATAATACAGGTGCGTTATATATACACGCTTTGGAGCGAAAATTACTGCCAAGTATTGCGCAGGGGTTGGTTGATACGAGCCACGGATTTTCTATTATTTCCTTCTCTCAAGGGCTCTGGGATTGAATTTTATTCAATTATAAGAGAGGACGATGAGTTTTTTTTTCACGATTGCAAATTGATATTTGGTGAAATTTAGTTTTACGCGGTTATAACTCGTTAAATGCGCCGCACTTGGAGACCCTCGAGAGAAAAACGCCCATTCGTATACCTTCAGGGGCGAGGTTTACGTGTAAATATACATATAATACACCCCCGTCCTCCCTTTGAAAGGGAGGACGGGCGTACTTATATAATTACGGGGGTACGCGCGTAATTATGTACTTTTGAGGCGACGCGTGTCCTTCTCTGGCGAACCCGACGTGCCAAAGAAAGTACAGAGTTGGACGGGAAAAAACGCAAGGATTTTGAGAGAATCATCTCGCAGCATAGATTACGTGGATTTGTATCGCAACCATACGAGCGTAATCCTATATATGGTATAAATCATCTCGTTTGCTCGTCATCTTATACTCGGTTCGGTGCTACGCAGCCACTGTACATAATACCAAAGCTACGTTGTTGTAACGCTCCCCTTTTTTGACCATAGGTGCCTATAAGGGATGTATACAAAGTACATCTTCCGTTCGGTAGATCCGTGCATGATTTTTTTTTTTTTTTTTTTTCCCCTGACACGTGCAAAACGACCACCCTGTGGTGCTACAACCGATTTTCCCCCCTCACGGCTCGAAGCGCACGTTCCTCTTGCTTCTCTTTGCTCGTTCGTTCTTCTCTCTCTCTCCCTGATCGTTTTTAACGGAGGAGGGAGAAAAAAAGACGGGCAGGTGCGTTTAGTTTATACATGCATACATACCAAGTGGTGTGCGTTGGCCTCCTCTCGGAAATTTCATGAAAAATCGCACGAGTGTGTTTCTTTTTTTCTTTGTCGCTTTCAGCGTTTTCTTGTCAAACATGATAAATGAGTGCAGTCGGAACAACAGGTGTATATATATGTATATATATATATATATATATATATATATATATATATATATATCATGCGCGACCGTGTCTATGAAATAAAGTTCCACAGTGTCGCGTCAAGAGTCTCCTCGCATCCTCCGTATACTCCCACACAATAACTGATGAGGGTGTATACATGTACAAAGGACCGCGCAAAATACTGCCCTTATTTGGAGGTGGACCGGTGTAATTATAGTGAGTTTACCCCAAAAAACGCGTTTTTATCATAATAATACATTCACTGAGTCTTGAGTTGGGCTTAAGGCAAAAAATAAATGATTACCAGTGAACGTGAGTACAGAGTAAAAGTCTGCAGCGTGTCTGCCACAAGTGACAAGGTAAACATTTTTCGTAAATTTTTTTTTTTTTTTTGTTTTGTCTAATTATGCTTGCGTCGGACCAAAAGTCTTGACAGCACATTTGTGTATTTCATCACGGGCAGTGACTCCAGATCGAGAGTACAAAAAAACCATGGAGCTACGTAAGCTTCGCTGTAACGTTGATCAGTTATATTATTATTATATTACCCTTTTCGGTTTACGCTGCATCGGCGCAGATGGTAAAACGTACACATACCTAAAAGCCTCGTCGCCGGAGCGTAATTAATTAACGGGCGCGGGAGGAAATCGACTTTGCGTAAGTATACACGGCGGTCCTTTCTTTGAAATTATCAACGCGCGACAACCCTCCCGTGGGCGCAAGAAATATAGAGGCGCAATATCGCACGCACCGGCGCTGCTGATTTAATTGGCGTTTGTTCGGGGAGGGCGTGAGCCCAACTTTTTTTTCCCTCCTCTTTATGTTTTTTGCACGCACTGCGCGTTTGGTTGAGCAAAAAAAAAAACAAAAAAAATGGTAAATTGCCGAGGGAATTATCGGTCGGGGGTGTGCATATCATTGTGCGTATTCCAGGTGGAGGAACAAGTGCGTCTAGACTCCGGATGGGATTTTTAATGGCTCGTTTCGTAATTGGAGAATACATTTTTTTTTTTTTTTTTTTACGAAGATGAAAGTTTTCGCGTATATATACTTATTACGTGAGCTTTGCACTTTTCAAACAATAATAGAAAATTTAATTAACGATTTCATTGCTTTGAATCGTGTGTTGTTAAACTTTTTGGCGGATAATTGCAATTTTTAGTTTCTAAAGAAAATTGTTTTTGTGAACTCAACAATAAATTCTACCTCAAAATGTAATTGATTTATAAATACATAAAAAAAAAAAAATAAATAAATAAATAAATAAAGATAAGATAAAAAATAATGATTGTGATTCTCCGAAACTCCCGCTGTTGTACAAGGTGTCAGCACCTTCCAAGAATCGTCTACTTTTACTGACAATCGATAAGAAAGCAGTCGTTTCGTGCCTTTTTATCAAATAAAACAATTCGACATTATTTTGCCGGATCCAGCACCTAATAAAATATGAAGGTAATCTTTGAAACGTCTATTAAAAAAATGTTATTCAAGTACAATTTTAACAATCATCCCATGAAAAAGCAAGGAACACCTTCAATGAAAAACTAATTAATCCTACTAAAGGTTAAGACACTTGCCAATTAATCCTCCAGACCGTAACAATTTTCAAGTTTGAAACAACAATCATATCCACCGTTTGTTTTTAAACCCGCAACAAACGAGCTTTTAAAAAACTACTCTTATATAGGCGCACGCGCAACTTCACGAAAGAATGAAAGATTGCATTGCATGTCCTCATAAAATAATAATCATACACCATAGTACTGCGCGCACAGCAACCGATACCCACGCGCGTATAACTGTACCTATGTAAAATATACGTCCGATACTTTTACTCCTTTCCTTTATGCGTACACACATATACGGAACGCCGCATCGGATATAGCGCACATATTATGAGAGAGTATTTTGATATTTATAGTGTAGGTTTTATACAAGACACACGAAGCGCAGGACGAACGTGGAATAAATACCAAAACGTAATTTTATGACATAGTTTTTTTTTTTTTTTTTTTTTCCAACCAACCGTCTCATATTCTTCTTTTCAACGTTGCTGAATATATGTACATACTTGCTAAACGGAACACTTGGTCTCGAGCGAAACGTCAGTCGCAAAAACGAGTCTCTCGTGAAAAGAAGAAGAGACGCGCCTACCGAGTGTACGTCAATTCGGAGTTTCTTTCCAGTCACTTTCACCATACAGCCTCAGGTAATTTTTTCATAACATCTCCTAGGATTTGTATCTTGCAACATTCGCACATATCTAGAGACGTTAAATTACACGGGAGTGACACTTGATTGAAGTTGTTGTTGTTGATAGACCGGTAACTTTTTTAAAAATAAAATTTCATAAGCATTAATTGGTTCAAAATCGAGTGCCACGGTTTTATTGTTGCTGTTATTGCCGGCAATTTCGGAGCATACAAAATATACTCTCACACATGTACGTCACCGTATATTATGTACAAGACCGGAATGGGTGGTACTCCGCCTTGTATTGGTACAGCGCAATGTATAGAGGGACAGTCATATGTGTATGGTAGCCGGTGGCGCAGCTTTACTCCCATATTAAAGAGCGAAAAAGGACACGTATGCATGTGAAAACAATTATTTATTATTATTATTTTTTTTTTTAAGAGTCAGTTTGGGTAAAATTTTAAATTTTCAAGCCATCGTACGATTGACAAAATAAACATATAATAAGTATTTATTGCATAATTCAACTGATAAGCTTCTTAGTGATAAGTATAAAATTCGATCGACATATTTACCAAAATCTGAGTATCGGTATCGCGAAAAAATGTCCAAATTGACGGGTGTACGGCGCGTGAGTGCCGGTGAAGATAAATCATAAAATTTATCAGATTTGAATTTCGACGAGTCATCGTTGCAAGCGATGATTCGTACGTATATATAGAAGCATAGCCGAGTTTTTACCCTCGTTTCTCTCTCGAAGATTAAGTATATAATGTGCACGTGACAAAAAAAAGGGTATAGCGAACGAGGCAGCGATGGCTGCTTATTTTATAAAAAAGTAAGTATTTACCGGTATTTACATCATCGAGGCGCTAATGAGCGGGTGTACGCGTCAGCGATTAACGTCCCACGACCTTGTGATTTCAAACACAACACGGGTGTATGATAGGTATACGCATGGGTTGCCTTTTATTTATGTGCCTGTGTAACATGTTGCTCGAGTCGAGCTGTTTCTTTTGTTTTTCCGGCACTTTATTATTCGGTTCACCTATTGATTTCCATCCACGAAATCACGGGAGTCGCTTTTGTGATTAATTGTACCGAACGGTTTTCAATAGCGTGGACTTGCAAAGCAAAATTATTTCATCGATTTTTTAACACTTTTAAGGATAATTTTTTTCCCCCTGATTAAAGTGCATTTTTTTCATTTATCATTATTTATAATACAATACTAGGTAAAATTTTTTATCCAGCAGATACTCAATGCAAAATTTTACAGTCAAGTTTTTTAAATAAACTTTTTAAACGCATTGGCTCTTTTTTTTCGTCTAGTTGTTATTATTTGTAATGGATGGTTTTTGCTGAAAACAATTTTTCAAGCAGTATTAAAAATTAATTTTCTTAGCACAAATAATACATTGCATTTTCAGGAAAAAAAAATTTTTTTTTTAAATTGTAACCATGCCAAAGTCTGTTTACAGTAGTAATACGATTGTACATGCATGTATAAAGTATTGCGATGTGTTATTAAAAACTTACATGGAGAGTCAATTTTCAAAGTTTCGCTTTCTCGTGTTGTTTGCAGTCTCTCGTTTCGTCAATAATCCAGTGGCACGTCTATTTTGGTTCCGGCTCCACATATTTTCTTTTTTCTTGCATTTTCAAGGGTCGGTAAAAATAGAATATGCCACAAGTTGATTCAATCGAGTCCATAGCTTTAAAAATTTTTAAAAAAAGTCTCAATCAATGGTTCAACGAAAGAGATAAATTTTTATGGTTTAGCCTACTGAGATATACATAAATTTTTCCAAACAAAACATTAAATTTAAAAGCGGATGAAAAAAAAAAAAATATTTCAGAATGACAGAACGCTTGGACATCGTGATTTTTGGAGCTACCGGCTTCACGGGCCAGTACACCGTCAAAGAGGCAGCTCGTCTCGCCAAAAGCAAGTCCTTCACTTGGGGCATCGCCGGCAGGCGCAAGGAGGCTTTAGAATCGGTCCTCAAAGAATTCGCTCCCGAAGAAGGTATACACACGTATTCTTCATTATTCTTTCCTTCCCTTCAACTAGACGAACTGCAATAATGTTCAACCCCATGGATTGTTTGCTTGCAGAAAACATAAAAGTGATAACGGCAGATCTGAAGGATGAGGAATCACTGAAAGAAATGGCCAAGCAGGCCAGAGTCATTGTCAACTGCGCTGGGCCGTACAGGTTTTACGGCGAGCCCGTCATAAAGGCGTGCATCGCCGCCAAGACCCACCACGTCGACGTTAGCGGCGAACCACAGGTATAATATGCAACAACATTGTATAATTCCAAAAACAACAGGTATAATTCCAACAGCATTGGTATTTTCTTTGGGAAAAAATTTTCGTTGGAGTTCTCAAAAAAGAAATCACATGGTATTGACTAATTTTTTTTTAAATTTGACTTTCAATTTTTTTTTTAAATAAGAATCTTCTACAAGACACCCTGCAAATATTCCTTGAGACTTCATTCCCGAAAGAAATCATTTGAAGGGTTATTATCTTAATAATAGTTTAACGAGATTTATATTTTTGAACACCACAGTACATGGAAAAAATGCAACTCGAGTACAACGAGGCGGCCAAGGAGGCGGGGGTTTACATAGTGAGTGCCTGCGGCTTCGACAGTATCCCCTCGGACCTGGGCGTGGTCTTCATGCAGGACAAATTCGGCGGCGAAGTCAACAGCATCGAGACTTACCTCAACGTCTGGAACACCAAAAACGTCTGCGGATCGAGTTCATTGAACTACGGCACCTGGGAGTCGGCTGTTTACGGGGTAGCCCACGCAAACGAGCTGCGCGCCCTGCGCACCAAACTCTTCCCCGAGAAGCTGCCGAAACTCGAGCCGGTCTTGAAGACAAAGTCGGTTCATGTTTTTTTTTTCTTTTTCCATCAACTCGCGACTCAACGAATAATTCTTTTTTCTTTTTTTTCCATACGCGTCCAGGGGTATAGTGCACTGCAGCGCCTTCTCCGAAGGCTGGTCCGCGGTGTTTCCAGGCTCCGACCGTTCCGTAGTTCTCAGGTCCCAAAGATTTTTCTACGAAAAGTACAAGCAGAGACCAGTGCAAATACAAACGTACATCACGTTCAAGTGAGACGAAATTCCATTGTTTTCCAGTCCATATTATCGTTTTTATATTAATCATCGTAAATGTCATTTGCAGGACTTTCTTCCAATTCGTTATGACCGCGGTGGTGGGAGGAATCTTTCTGACGTTGTCGAGGTACTCGTTCGGCCGGGGTTTGCTGCTGAAGGTGAGACATTCCAAAACCCCTTCTACTACTGCACAAATCTCGAGTTTGATGAAAAAAAAAAAAAAAAAAAAATTGTTTTCTCTCTCGCAGTATCCAAAACTGTTCTCCGGTGGTTTGGTATCGAAAGAAAACCCGAAACCCGAGCAGATTGAAAACACGCACTTCTCGATCACGTTCATCGGCAAGGGCTGGATGGACAAACTGGCCGAGCCCACCGACCAGCACAAGGAGGAACCGAACAAGGAAGTCATCACCAAGGTCTCGGGCGTCAATCCGGGCTACGGTGCCACCTGCACGACCCTTTTGATGTCGGCGATCATAATTTTGAAGGAGTCCAACAAGATGCCCGATAAGTTTGTATTACCCGCCTTTTATCTCATTTGGCAGCGTATACATATATGTATAGGAAAATGACGCGACTGTAATTGACGTTTGGTTTCAGCGGCGGTGTGCTTCCACCTGGTGCAGCCTTCGCCAAGACTTCCATGATCGAAGAGTTGGTCAAAAATAATGTTAAGTTCGAAGTCGTTTCGGTCATTGAAAAGTAAGGAAATGCCATCGGCAATATATACGTTAATCCTACAATGGTCATTATTATCATTAATATCGTTACATCGAACGTTTAACTTATTTGGTAAGACATTGCTTTATTTGCTTTAAAACGATCTGTGCATAAAGTAGTTAAAAATCAAAACTAATATTTTGGGGTGATAATATTTACTAGAAAATAAGTTCTTTTTTTTTTTTTTCAAACAAAAATACACATATTTATATGATTTTTAGTTTAAATAACAAAGAAAATCTCGTGATTCTGGGGTCAGATCGAAGTCAAATTAAACCACTTTCCAAATTGTGATAGCAACAGTCAGCTGTATAGTGTACAGCAGTAACAAATATCTTCTTACTGTAGTCAATGCTATATTTATGTGTACTATTTAACAAACTGTAAATTATACAAGATTATAAATTACATTTTTTAATGTACTAGTAGAAACTAGAAATATGTAAATCAAGAGGTGGTATTACGTTTCAACTTTTATCGCACCTCAGGGAAAGAAAGCAATAAAACTTGTTTATCAATAAAATTGAAGGTTTTCTGGGTACTTTTCATATTGGGAGCAAAATAAAAATTTCGAGAATATTTGTATTTAGGGTAGCGATGAAGTATTTGTGGTAAAATATTCTTTAAAAATAAAATTCTTTCTTCGAGGTGTCGATGTAAAAATGCATATTTTTCTATTCGTGGCGTCTATTTTAGAAGAGATCAAACAATTTTCAGACTGACGATATAGTGTTACTTTATCGAAATTTTAAAGAAAAAGATCTTTACGTTGTAGCTTTAACATTGTCATTAAGGATATAATATATGAACATATAAAACTGTAGAACAGTTGTAATAAGCCCACAACGTGCAATGTTGGGTTTTTCTATATATAATTATTACCATATTCAACGTTTATAAGGAAATAATATTGTATGATTAAGTTTTTCTATGCTGTTTTAATAAAAATTCATTAACATTACTTACTACTTCTTCTATTTTTCCACTTAATATTTACCTGTCCAATCAATACTTTTTATTCCAAGTCCTTGAATTATTTTAATATAACGAAGGAGATGAAAAATGGCAGTCGTCATAAGAATTAATGAGAGCAATAAAAAAAAAGACAAATAATAAGTTTATAAATTATACTGTACAGGTCCAGTATTATAGATGCAATATTTGTTCATAAAATTTATTATTGTATGATATTGAACTAATTCGTAAACTTTCACTAAATTCTCCAATTGTCAACAATTTTATATGTATAATTGGTCTTATCCTAATATTTGCTAAAAACACATTTGATTTTAACTTAATAATAATAATTTGCAGTATGTAAGAGGTCTAGCAGTGATTTAATTCTAAAAGTTAATCGAAAAACATTGAATATAAATTTTCCAAATAAAGATTCGGTGGGTCAAAATTTTGTGTGCCACAGCTTCATAAATGTACATGTAAATGGTGTAAAGCAAGTGACTTTACGTGCTCTTAACTTTATTCTTACGTTTATTATATAATTTTTAAATTTTTTTATCCTACACAACTAAAATCATTGAAACGTTATTTTATTCATAACACATAACTAAAACAGTTATTTATTGAGTAAAATTTAATTTATTATTAATTTCGCAACGAAATCATAAATGCAGGTTTTTTCTTTCAATTCATTTGAACGTTCTTTTTCTGTAATTCAACACACTTAACATAAACGGTGGTATTTTCCTCCTTGGGAAAATCCAGGTGGATTATTGGAGCAAGCGATGATTAGCACGCATTTTTGTGTTAAAACTCATTTGATACAAACTGACCAATGACAATCAATAGAGAATTACTGAATGACGAATCGGATGCTTTTTCTACGAATAACGTTGCAGAAGAGTAAGCCGTGACACTGATAAAAAGAGAGACAGATAAAAACATTATTAAAAATACATAAGAATGAGCAAACGATGACTTATACAGCACAATAATGATAATAATAATATCACATGCACTGAACTTTGAGCTTTAAGAGAGTAACTATGTTTATTTCAACTTTTTTTTTTTTTACAATTTTTTGCGCTACAGTATTTAAACACCTTGAGAGATGAGGTAAAAAATATCCTTGGTCATAGTTTCCTACGTATCACTTTTTATTATGGACAAGAAATTACTTCTTCCACAAATATATATAATTAATTTATATGTGTACCTTATGAAAAATACTATTAATTTTCGTCAAATATGATTTATTTTCTAAGAAATTTGATACTTTAGATAAAATTAAGACAATTGCAATTGTGAATTAGTGCATGAATATTTTTTTTTCTTGCCAACGTCAAAGTTTTTTAATTAATTTAATAGACACTTCCGTCAATCCAAAAAAAATATAATAATTGATTGATCAATAATTGAAGTACGTCATTGCGAGATAAAACAATAATTTTTTGAGTAATTTAATGTGTTTAGAGTATAAATAACATACTTTTCGGAAGAAGCCATCTGATGATTTGTTCATTCAACGATTTGAATAAATGTATAAAAAAACACACGAAAAGGAAAACCAGTTAAAAAATTTTTTCAAAGTTTTTAAAATATCTGAATAGAATATTTATGAAAGTTTACTGTTTTTAAACTTTTATAAAAATTATTTTCACAATAAAACATTTAATGGGTGTAACAAAAAAAAAAAACTACTTAAGTATAATACTATAAGTTGCCTTTAACTATTCAATAATAAAAATTAATTATTCTAATCCTCTATGAAACGTAATTAAATAAATTAAATGATCAGAAATAAATAAATCAGAATGATTATATTATTTTTTTTTTTCCCATAAAAATGATTTCCAAATGTTATTTTATGTACAAAAACAATAATTGTTCCGTATTTCTTGGATAAAAAAATGTTAAAATTTTTTTACATAAATCACATGTACAACACATGGTACATACAAAAAAAAAAAAAAAAAAAAAAAAAAAAAAAAAAAAAAAAAAAACGAAGAAGCCGTCAAGCTCATTGATCAGGACAGGATTCTTGGAAAAATTCGTGGCGGGGGAAAAGCACCGCACAAGAGAAAGCTTTTCTGCCGGGCAACAAACACAGCGCGCGTATTGTACTATACGCAAGCGTCATGCACACTTTGTCTTTTTTTTTTTTTTTTTCTCTCTCTCTCGATTCACGAATCTCGCACGGTTTTGGTAAGTAAATATATATACGCAGTTGTTTCTTTTTCCTCGTGCAGCCCCTCCTCCCGAGGCACGAGATCATACTTGCGTTGACTCTGACAAAAAGCTCGAGCAAGTAGTTTGCTGCGGGCAGTGGACGCGAGCGAGTGTCTCTTCGTCGGCTTTGGCACGCCGTGCTTGCGTTTATTTTGCGGTGCTTATCGCTTTTGGTACACTTACGCACAAATACACGCGTATATGCACACACACACACACACACGCTGGTTTGTTACGTTCGAGAGTTGCATCATGAAACCCGAGAAGACGACCGAGAATGGACAACAGCTGCAAATTGCGGAAAATGGCAGTAGCAGTCACCACAAAACAGGTTTGACAATATCAAAATTTTTTTTTTTCAATACAATGGTAAAATGTCCTAAAATGGCATTTTGGCGAATTCTCACCCCTTGGAGATGAGGAAAGCTCGATGTAAATATGCATAACGAGGGAAGAAAGACGTACTGTCAAACGTTTGTTACTGGACCACGCAGGTGGTGCATGTTAATGAGGAAAATCGGAGGGAAAAAACACGGAAGTTACTATTGTGAGACAAATTATTGTTTCGTTTGCCATTTTATTGCGGGTACATAATTACATATGTTTTGCCGAGAAAATTTTTTCAAAAAACATTTACATGCCGCCGACGAAGGCAAATGCAACAAGTGTCTTCGTAGTGTTTGTCTTGTTTATCTCTCTTTTGAGTGTGTTCATCTGTTTGCCCGCAGCTGTGTGTATAACGTACATAAAGGACAACGATGTTAAGCACAATATAAATAGGTGATTTTTATTTTTCGTGCATTCAAAATCAACGCAGTCAATAAATCTTGTGATGCGACAATAACCAGTTGTTAAGAACAAGTGTCAAGTACTCTCGGTTATTTCTCCTGTACCCTTAACTGGCACATGTTGTAATATCGACTGATGCGATAAAGCGAAAAAAGGTAAATTTATAATAAAAAAAAAAAAAGAGATTTTTTTAATTAACGTGACGTACATGATATGCGTGTATCAATGAGTTGTGTATATACCTAATATACATTTATATACGAAGTGCATACAATCTCACAAAATTCAACAAATGAATTGTATGTGGTATTAAATGTGAAGATCAGCACTGAAACTTGAATCGGTGTGATTGTATGGTATTGCACGAGCATGATAGTACTTTCGTGATATTTATTAAGTTGATTATCGTATTAAACAGATATTCGAGTCAATAGCACTTCTTGTTTACATACCCATCTGAGTACTCACCTGTCAATTTTATAAAAATAGAAATTGTTTTAACCAAAATTTGTAAATTTTCGTGAATTAAGATTTTTATGGTATTTATTAATCCTGACACTTTGTTAACTTTATTTAACAAACGATTTCGCAGCAAATAATTTTAAACTGAAGTGTTACAAAATTTTAATTCATGAATTAGATTGGCCAGGATGATTTTTTGCCTCCCATAAAGCTTTTGAAACAATAGTGTGAGATAATTTCACACGAATATTTATATGTGTCGAACCATTTTATCTAGTTCCACCATTGAATTGAAAAATTTTACACGATTACAGATAGTGTAAGATCTGTACGTGACAATGGTAATTTTAGAATATAGTTAAAGTTATTCAATTGACATGAAACTGTTTATGCAAATGATCAGAGTAACAGTATTGTGTAATTTATTTATTGCACTTCTAGAAGATAACTAAAGTATGAAAACCCTGAAAATCTCCTAACATTTTGGACGAGTATGTGAAATTTAAGCCAAATTAATTTTTTTTTGGTTATGAAGTAAGTAACAAACAATCACCCGATGTATTGCATATACAACAAAAATACGCTGGAAATAAAATTAGAGTAAAATAATGAATCAAAGTTTATGAGCTATAAAGCATATACGATACATTTTGAAGAACATCACTCACGCTCAAATAAATCGAATCAACAAAAGCCATTGGCATACATAAATTTATAAAATGTGACGACAATCGAGCATTATTTTTTATCACCACAAAAACTGTACGTTTGTTTTTTTTTTCCCCTCACGCTCTACATCGCATCCATCCATCTCATAATTGTCAGGGATTAATAATAGGATACGTAAGTATACCAAGCAGATAAGATGTTGTTGGAAAGTTGATGCGAGCACCAGTAGAACGGTTAAGGGTACGGTAAGACGCGCAAAGTATATGATGTGCACGGCTATGTACTGTAACGATTTTTTTTTTTGTTCTATTTTATACTCGTGAGGTGGAATTACATGGAATATAAACAAAATTGGTCATTTATTGTTTTAGTTACTAATAATAACGTAAAGCCTTACATATAACGAACTGATTAAAACTTCGTACCGATTTTTCAAACTTTCAGTTTAAAGTCCGTTGGACAAGATTTCATCGATGATTTTACTATATTGTTAATTGAGAAAATCATTGAAATAATATATTAAGTGATACGGGCTTTTCGGATAAGTTTTCCCTGATTACTGTTGAATGCATGATAATTTCGTGTGTAGGCTATTATTCCGGTTATAAGCACAGACCAACTGTCTAATACAAGTTTTTCAAACATTCTGTACAGGATTCAACTGTGAATGGTAATGATTATTTGTCATTCGAAAACTATACTTATAATTGAATTTTTATGAATGATAATTTTTTGAGATAAGTTGTTGTATTTAAAAGTAAAGATGTATTTTTCAAAAATCTTTCCCATCAATCTATAATTCTAATTAATAAAAAATTTGTTCCTATTGACGTACTGTATTGAGCTTTCAAGATCAATTCCGTAAGAGTAGGTACAAACGATCCGCAGCTCTCTCATCTTACACGCATCTCTAGCTTCATGCACTCGTTGTGCTTACGTACAAAGGTGGCTAACGGATTATTGCGCTGGACGAAAAAGCCACAGCATTACGTCTCGATACGTGACACCTTCTAACGTGCCTTCGATGACTTTTTTTTTCTCCCATCAAAGATGTATATCCATTTCAAAAAAAAAAAAAAAAAAAAAAAAAAATACCGTATCCTTCTGATACACCAGTGGCTGGCGCTCGCTCGTGCATCTCAGGAGTCGGTTGTCACCGGGGCTGACTTTTTTCTAGCCGGCGCTGCAACGCGATGACCGTGCGAGAGACGCGCTCGCCCGATTTTTCTTCCCGTCTCTTCTCTCACGATGCTTACGTGAATGCGTCCTTCTTGACATTGTTGCTGGTTATTTTTTTTCATTTTTTTCATCATCCCCGGCTTTTTTGTCCACAAAATTTTATTCCACAGAGAAGTACAAGCGATAATCACTTCCTCATTATCTGCGTCCAAGTTGTGCGTTGTTTATTCAAAATAAAGTGCGTTTACGAAAAACAAAAAAACCACCAGTCAAGGTGATGCATATTTTTTTTTTTTTTCAACACGCTTGCAAACACTTTTCATTACGAGCACGCGACTTTGCTGATTGCCACGCTTCTAAGAGAATCTTATACAACAAAGTTTACGAACACCAGTATGATTAGAGGATGAAAAAAATAGGTAATAATATTCTAAGAAGCGACTTATCTAATGTGCGTTACGTCTCATGTCTCCTGACTTGTAGATTACAAACACGCACTTATCACCGCATTGTTCTTAAACGTTTTTCATTCAAATGCGATTTTTTTTTTTTTTTTTTTTTCTTATTGCAGAAAAAAGATCGAGTGTCCGATACCGCACATTCGTCTAGAGTATATTGTTTTTTTTTTTGTTTTTTTTCATAGAACAACCGAGGTAAGGGAAAAATCTCGTTTATATAAGTATATTGTCGTTTTTGCAATTGAATCGTTACGATGCGTGTACAACGTTTCGCTTAACGATGAGTCGCGTACATTACTTTATTCGTATATTAGCGTGCTGATGATTGATTTCTTATTTCTAAATCCATACGTATATGTTGGATTACAGTGCCACTGTCTCTATTACCATGTAAATCGAAACTTTGTTGACCAAAAACTCTCGCACGCTTGCATCGATTCTGAGACATTTTATAAAACGGGTGTGCATAAACAAACAAAAAATTGGGAAACTTTGAAATTCGTGACCAAACCGGTCATTCGAGATGGCTGTTTTGTTTACGTTTTGCCAAGCAAATGGCACGCGTTTCACATTGGTGACTTAATAACAAAAGGACGCGAGGCGACAATTACAACAGAATCCAAGGTCAACTTTAATCCTGACGATCGACTAGAAAATTTTTTGCCGATTTCCAAGTACCAAAAATAAACTTGACGCAACCCCTTCGATCGTCATCCGACTTATTTACTTTATGGTGTTTTTTCTTCCATCTTTATAAAACTATGTCGAAAATGAGAAAAAACTGTAAGTAGAAAAACCCATGACGCCTCGGCTACAGAGAATGAGGAAAAGAACAAAGTAAAAGCAACGCCGCGGCTACACACGTATTCCTGCGGTCGAGGGAGATCGTCTTTCCAGTTCTGTCGTTGTTTTCGTTCCCGTTTCGGTCAAGCTGTTCTTTCCCTTTTTTTTTTTTTTTTTTTTTGCTCCCTCGTCTTTCCTCATCAACCCCGATTTCAACGCGATATTCCATCCATCCGTGAACTCGGGTGTGTAGGTGTCAATNTTAGGTTGTCAAATTGAAAAAATGATTTTGAAGTTTTGAATAATTTTTTTTGCTCCCTCGTCTTTCCTCATCAACCCCGATTTCAACGCGATATTCCATCCATCCGTGAACTCGGGTGTGTAGGTGTCAATATCGTATATGCCAAGGGACAACATTACACTACATACCATTGAATACGTGCAATTGCTCAATTTGTAACGTGGAGCGAGATGGATTAATTACAATCGGATGAATTTTTTTTACCGTGCACCCGAAACTCGATTTCGCATCTTGATTGTATGCCTATATTATATACCTGTTGGCTACGTGTGGTGACGTCAGATAAATGTCGCAATGCCGAAAAATCGGTTCAACGAAGGAAGCAAAAAATGGGGAAACATTCCAATTTCTTCGATGCATGTTTACCTCTTCGATCGGTTTTTTCGTACAGAGAACCATTCTTACGAAATACTTGTACTTTACGTACTCCCGGGAACCTATCGGATTTTCTCTCTCGGTATCACACCTGTACTTAAAATGACGAAATACTTTCTACTTTTCCATCACGCGCTTCTGCGCCGATCGAGTTCTTATTTTTTCCCGAGACTCGTGTTTTGGAGCAACAATTTAGACAAAGTGGGGTTTTCCCCTGCACTGAAAATGTGAATGAGTAAGCCTAAATTGTGTATAAATCGAGAAAAAATCGGCCGAACCGATTTTTCGATCTGCCAAGCTTGTCATATGTGTAAACCTTGTATGTACTTGTATCATAATACTTATACTGAGTACAAAGTATGCCAGTTAGTCAAGAAAAAAAACTTGTTGATGAATTTCAAAATAATCGGATAACACGGTATTTTGTTTACCTATATTGTTCATGGAAGTTAGGAAAAACCATGCATACCTTCCTCGACGATTTACTTGATTCCTTGTGTATTTCGTGCGATTTTCGGGATGAAAAAACGAGCCGTCCGTATGGTTCATCAGCCGACTTGTAGCTAGAGTATGACAGTAAAAGTACAAGCTCGACTAATGTTCACATAAATCGAGAAAACATGAACGTGTGAGAAGAATTGCACAAAAAGTTTGAAAAAAAAAAAAAAAAAAAACATTTCATACGGTCTTTACAAACGATTGGAACTTTATTTTTAATACAAAAGGAGTGAAATCATCAACTCCAGCCTCCAGCTAAATAATTTTTATATTTTCCTGGTCCAAGTTATACATTTCGGCAACTGTATTAAATATTTTAAAAAATTTATCTAGCCACCAGATACACTCTCAGAGGAATCATAAGTTGTACGGGTTTCCTTTTTCGTTATCACGCGCACTCTCTCCAAGATTCTCAAAAGGAAACTAGGAAAGCTCCAACTTGGACCAAGAGACTTGGCATAATCTTCGACAAAAGGCAACAACTGACAAGTTGCATAAAATAAAGAGATGAAAACGGAATAAGTAGGATGTATAACGTATAGTGCGTTGCCATCAAAGTCGCCTCTCGCAAAAAGTATGGAATCGTTCCCCCTTTATTTTTTCTTATTCATCACTAGTCGCTCCGTGGGAACGACGCTTGTGATTGGGGTTCTCAATTTCCTCGATATCGGGGCTGTGTTCNTTTAAAAAAAAAAAAAAAAAAAAAAAAAAAAAGAAAAGAAAAAGAAAAAATCCTCCTTTCATTGCAACAAACGACACATAAAACTTTCCCAGGAAAGTGTCAATGCACGCTGCAATCAGCAGGAAGTCCGTGGCTCCCGATTATACGGACGATCGATCAAATTTTCCCTAATCCCCTGATCCCCCAAGTTCCGATAAAATGGTCATTAACTTATGACACTTGCAGCAATAGACCAAGCATACCTGCCAAATCGCGTGGCGTCACTCTCTACATTATTATATATATAGCCTTGACGTAGAAGCAGTCCAATAATCCCGAGCAACCCTCTCTTACCTCTACTGACGCAATCCTCCCCCTACAAAATGTATATACTATATACACACACACACACACCCCGAGGATGGTAGAGATTTCCCGAGCGCAGCGCGCATGTGTGCTTAGGAATAAAAGCCCCGCAGCTTCCATAAGCACACGCGGAGAGAAAGAGAGAGAGCAAAGGAGCGAGAGAGGGGGGGAAACCCTCTGTATATATATACAACATATGTAGGAGGGGGTAAAGAAGGGAGGTGCGGTTCACAGAAGCTGCAGGACTCTTTAACCCGCGTATATACACTACAATCGCAGTCAGTCAGTCAGTAGATCTCTGCTACGTCAGTAGTGGCGCGTCACTCTTGCCGTGTGCAACTGTATATACCATCTACTCACCTCATATTGTACATAGGACCCACGATTTTATTTCTTTACCATTTTTTTTTCTTTCATTTTTTTTTTTTTTTGTGATTTTTCCGATTTTACCCGTCGTTCGGAGCCGTCGTACAATTACAATTTATACAGTCGAACGAGGTGATTATTAAAATAAAAAAAAACTAACTTCGCGATACGAGATTGTCGGGGTTTTTTGTTTATCGAGGGTACGCAGTGGCTTGGTTTGGTGGGAGGGGGAAAAAAAAAAAAGTTCCCAGTCCAAAAGATCTCTCTGTCTCTCTATGCAAACAATCGGGTTTTTACCCATTGTATCGGCAGCGCGATCGGTTACGGCAAAAAACAACAATGACACGCGAGACCGGGAGAAATTTCGGCCGGTGCTGCGTTGTTATTGTCGTTGGGATGGATAAATCAATAGTCAGAGAGGCATGTGCGTGGCGCGCGCGAGAAACCCGCCGGAAATCAAAACACTGGCGTCGATCGGAACTGCACCCGTACGTGTGTTTGGAGAAATTCGTCCGCCGGACAGTGAACTATTATTATTCCTTGCGTTTTTTTTTTTTTTTCTCTCCTTTATCGCGAGTGTCGAGCGTAATCGCGTCTCTCCGGAGAAATCAACCGATCGGAAATTCGTTCAAGGCCTCGCGATCGGGTTGATCGATGTGCGCTTGTTGTACTTGCATGTGTGTATAAATACATCGAAGGTGCCTGTGGAGGGAATTCATTGCAACAGGTTGTCCCGAGGGGCGTAGAATTCGGTACGCGTGTGTGTAGTCGCTCGATCGCGCCTGTATCGGGATAAACGCTGAGTACATTCATAAATAGTGCGATGCACACGTCCATTGTGATGCTTTACAAAATTGCTAAAAAAAATGTTTCATTTACAATACGACACTGAGAACCAATGTTTCTTTCTAGCTGTCAAGTGCTATGAATTTTATGTATTTAAGTTCGTGGTAAAGTATTTGAAACAAAATTTTTCAATGTAGTTTATTAAATACTTTGGTTTTTCCTCTGAAATTGCGTTGTTCTGCTGGAAACATTTTTTTAAGTACTACGTATGAAAGAAGTAATTGAAAAAAAAAATTGACAAAGTATCCGTGTCTAAGTCTAAGAAGAAAAAAAAAAAAAAAAAAAAAAACCCCGACAATCTCAACGCCAAACACGGAAAAGAAAAAAAAAAATCGTCAAAGATAGCATAAAGTTATATTCAGGGGTGTACTTGTTAGGTATAGCGAGAATGAACGGAATAATCGAGGACGAGAAGAAGCAGACGGCCGTCGAGTCGAAGAAGCCGTGTTCGCTTCAGCGCAACGTGTCCTGGGGTGAGAAGCAGCCCAACTCGGACACCGAAGTGCCCGGCACCCCGAGAACGCCCCGCACCTCCACTACACCAGGTATATAATATTAATTGGGTGACGCTTGCGTATACGCATTCACTGCGAGGGTGGTTTTTTCGTTTTTCAAGAGTTTAGCTATCCAATACGTTTTCCAATCTTTTTTTTCCATACCTTGAATGAAAATTTTGAGGAAAAAATAATGTGATTGAGAAGGAAATGTATATCTTGCCTATTGTTGTTATCTATTATTATTATCTATGTTGCCCCTCGTCCTTACTTTCATCTGTAAATTTTACTCAAAGCATTTTTTAATTGAAATTTGTTTAAATCATGAAATTGACAACTCCATGAACCAGCACTATTTTTATCACTGCATAATTAAGTACGTGCAATTAATTCGTAACACGTATATCTATATATATAATATGTCAATCAGACTAGCGCAAAAGCGAAGTCATCTCAATTAATTATGAGATAGTGAAAAATAACACACCTACTTATTCATCATCGGAATAAAAAGGACAAACTATTCTGACTGTATTATATCACATAACATTACATTTATGGTGCTGGGACGGAAAAATCTCGTACACGCGTCTCGTTATCTTTACGAGTCGATGTTATATTAATAAATCAATAACAAATGCTAAATCTCACTCTGCTTTATCTCAAGTTCCACTTTAAGATTAAAGTACGGGTTGCACTTGTGTATACTTGGTGTATATTATATACTTGACATGTTAATTTTTACTATACAATCGCTGATTCGTTCATTCATCGAGATGGTATTGATCTATAGTAGATTATACATATAAATGATACCAAAATTTTACATTTTCGTTACGAAGCATTTAGAAATGTAAAAAAATGAGTGAATGTTTGGAATCTAGGGAGTGATGCACATTATTTTTAGCACGTTAATTCCAGAAATTTTTTTTTTTTTTTTCACATTTGTGGGTTTTCGGTACTTTCTTGCTGCTTCGATTTATTTTGGATCCGTTTTTATTTGTCCATGGTAAAAATGTTTATTAAAAAATTACTTATATTATTTTCATGCAAAAATATAACTTTTAAGCCATTAAACAGTTTTCGAAACTTCATTTGAGGTCACTTATATAACTCATTTGTAAGCTTAGACTTTTAACTTAAAAATAAGAGGNTTTTTTTGCTTGCCGCTAATCTTGCAACGGACGGGAAACGAGACGAAATAATAGTTAGGCGAGAACCATATCATTCCCCAACATTGGTTTTTTTTGAAATAATTTACAACGACAAATGACTCGTGAAACACGAGATCAATGAAAGAAAAAGGGATACCTTCTTTTCCTCAGAATCGTCGAGATCTACAGTAGACGAGTGCAGGTGCAGGAGCGCCTCACCAAGCAGATAGCCGAGGCTGTGACCAAAGCATGATCAATTACTTGTTTATCTACGTTCTTTTTTTTTTTTTTTTTTTTTTATATTTTCCTCCTCCTGAAAAGACGCGCGAATGATTAGGTGTATTACAAGCAAACGCATTTGTCGACACTATATACATACACACCTGCGGCAAAATTTCCGTAAAATCGAAACGCTCGTTTGCTTTAATTTTATGCGCGTGTTTATACGTGTTTTATTAGCTGTTTAAATATTCAAAGAGCAACATACGCGTAAAAGATCGAAAGTTAAAATGTATAGTAATAATTACTATTTTTTTTTTTCAACGCTACATTCGAATAAAAAATCAGTCTTTACTTCAAGAAGCTTCAACTCTAATGTAGCTCCTTGTCTTCGGCTCCTCGCTTTTTTCAAAAAAAAAAAAAAAAAAAAAAAAAAAAGAAAAGAAAAAGAAAAAATCCTCCTTTCATTGCAACAAACGACACATAAAACTTTCCCAGGAAAGTGTCAATGCACGCTGCAATCAGCAGNGGATCAGGCACTTGAGAATGTAAGCAAAATAGCAGATATAGCTTCAAGGGTACAGTTACTTGAATAATACCGTAGGGCAAGGGAAGCCAAAAAATCACTAAAATTCCTTGAATTATCACGTAACGTAGCCCTAAATAATTCAGCTTTACGTATAAGTCAAGCTGTCTGAAACATAACAACATATAGTAGTCAAAATAGACCTCTCAGAGATTTTTTACAAGATGCTGAAAATGGTAGGTCCCTTATCTCAAATGCGGAAGAGCCTATGTTTTTAAGAACAGTTATTTCCAGGCTAAAGGGTAGAGCTGGACTTTGTCTAGACCAATTAACAATAAATACATTAGACGGTCTTATAGGCACATTTTGCTCCTTCTAAAACTTACGCTCAATACATTACCGACATTAATAAATCTCAAATAGAACAAGGGAGAAACTGTAAGCAATTTTTACGAGAGAATTTTCCAACTCATTACTTAAGGCGCTAGAGCAGCTAAAATAGAGGCCGTTTCAAATAACATTACTAAAAACCAACTGCCTAATACCAAGTTATATCTAGAAATAGTTAGCCGTAAAGTATTTATGCAAGGCCTATCTGATGAATTCAAGGCCACGATGATGTCACACGTACCAAAAACCTAATACCTCTACGCAGCACAGTGGGAAAGAAGCACTATTTTTGTTCCAAAATCTGTTGACACCACAATTTTCAACGTAATTTTCCCATTTTTTTTTTATTTACTTCTTGGATGTCAAGCCTTAGTTTGTCATAGCCACGTTTTCTTGAAAGTCCAAACCCTAACCTAAAAAAATCAGAAAACAGAAAAAACAGATTAAAAAAAAAAATTTTGCTAAAAATTAGTTTTTAAGAATTTTTAAGATCTCTAATCATTAATTTATTGTTTGTTTATACAAGTTTAAAATGGTGGATACTAAATGGCGGCTGAAAACTTAAAATTCTTATTTATTTTACGTTTTTTCGTATAAATTACTACAAACAATCTTTTTCGTCTCTGATTACGAACTTATTTTTTTTATTATGTGTGTTAGCTTCAGTGTGTCACTGCCATTTTTCCTCAAAAGTCAAAACCATAACGTTAAAAAATCGGAAAATACTGAAAAAATAGATTAAAAAAGAAAATTCCTCGGAAAACTAGTTTTCAGGGGTTTTAAGGGTCACTCATTATAAATTTATTGTTTATTTGTACAATTTTAAAATGAAGTATACAAAATGGCTGGCAAAAACCAAAAATTCTGATTTGTTTCGCTTTTTTTTTGTATGTAACTAACACAAACGATGTTTTTCATCTCTGATTATGAAGTTATTTCTTCAATTATGGAATTTAAGAATGGTCGATACAAAATGGGGATTAGAATCCAAATTTTTTATTTAATAATCACTACGGACAATTTTTACTTTGAGTTCTGTAATACAAATTTTATGTTGCTTCCTCAAAATTAAAATGTCAGATGCAATGCAAATTGATACACACGTGGATTTCTCTTGGTTCAAATTATAAAGGTATCATACTTTTCTCGGAAGTTATATATATATCATCTCACAGAAGTAAGTAAACGATTACTGAATTTAACAGGTTTGGGTCAACATAGTTCCAAGAGGAAGTATTACGAATAAGAACGTGACTAGCTGAATATGCTGTTAAATATAGTGAGAATCCCATTCCCCTACCAAGCCATTTTAGTTACAGAGCGTTCATTACTGCAGCAATGGACAACTTCGATCACAATAAAGTGACTACGGACGAAGTAACGTCTACACGTAATACGGTGAATGTAATTTTTCAAAAAAAGTCTGAAAATATTTTATAAAAACCAAAACTGTCTGATGTGAAAATTGATAAAAGAGTGCGATCACCTACATCTTCACTTAAGTGCTAACAAGTGTTGAAAATTAATAAAAATGTCTGTATTATCAGAAAACCTGTGGAGTATATTGTTAGTAACTACAGTAAGCTGTCACAAATTCAAGATTATCAGAACATTACGTGCACAAGTGATTTAGTTTGGATACTGACAAGGCTAGATATATCAAGGTTCTTATTAGTTTTACAAGCTTCTGTGATAGAGTATGGTACAGTATATACAAGTCTTTGTAATTTTATTGATTTATTAAGCCAATTGAATCAAGAATTCTTACCAGCTACATGTAATGAGGGTGTCTACAGAATAGAGAAACATATGCTGATTTTAAATGAATAAGAAATTATGTCTAAGTTCATTTCATTTAACCAAAATCATGCAAGCATTTATAGAAAAATATTTACAATACAGTGGTGTCGACAATATATTTGTTGAGGATGGACCATGCGCACTATACGCACGCCTTAAAATTCTTGTATCTTTGAGGAAAATTAACTTGAATACATCATTAAAGTCCCAAAATTTCTGTTTCTCATCGTACTACAACTGTGAAAAACAGTTATAGCAACATTTTTTATTTGTCCATGGTAAAAATGTTTATTAAAAAATTACTTATATTATTTTCATGCAAAAATATAACTTTTAAGCCATTAAACAGTTTTCGAAACTTCATTTGAGGTCACTTATATAACTCATTTGTAAGCTTAGACTTTTAACTTAAAAATAAGAGGTGTTAAAGCATCTTATGTTGAAGGGAAGCTAAGTTATAAGCAAAAAGGCTTTAAAAACCATCATTCTTCACATTTTTTTCCCCTAAATTGGCAATAGCTCTGGCTCTAATCAACATTTTTCAGGAATTCTTGATAGGGCTCATTACTGGGAAAATAAGTTATTGAACTCTTTTGTTATTATATTCGAACATGGTCCTTTCTGTTTTTGATCACGTTATAAACATTTACATTATTAATACATATTTTTTGAACAATTTGACGAAAAAACAAGTTTTAGATTTGGATTCTGTGGGCAAAAATATATCGAAAATGCCTACTCGTTCTCGTGGAAGGTAATCGGCTATGAAAATGTCTCTAGCTGCCTAACTACAGAGCTACATCTGATATTTCTGATAAGTTCGTCTCAAAGCCCAACGTCGAAGTTTTCTGTGCGGTAATCTTTCATAACCTTTTTCATACTTTTTCTTCTTTGCTGAAAACACTGTCAGGTAAAACCAATTTGCGCGTATTTTGAACTGTGTTTTGCAAATATCTCCGATAAGCTCGTCTCGTAGACTATAGTTACAGTTTCCTGCGCGGGGACTCATTTTTTCAGAAGAAACATGGTGAAGCAACTGTAGACTTGGCAGAATTCACTCACAATATACCTGATACCTTCAGAATGTTATATTTTTGGCCCAACGTCAAAGTCTTCCGCACTAAAATTTTTGATAAATGTTTTTTGTGTAACATGGCCAGTAAACTTTACGGTGTGTAAGCTGTCAGCAGTGCCCTGCTGATATTAACAATAGATTTCTTTTGTGACCCAACGTAAAAAAAATCTAAATAGTTTAATAAGCTTTTTTCTTATCAACGAAATGTCACGGAAGATTTTTAGCTGAGCCTCTTTGATATTATCGGTTGCCTTCAAACAATACCCATTTTTAAAGTTTCCTGTGCAAATATCTTTAATAACTCGCTACTTTACTATAAACACTATCAAGTAAAATCATTCCTTATTGATTTTTCGCAGTACCTAGCTGATATATACGATAAGATCGAAGCGGGGTCTGATGTTAAAATTTCCCGCTTGGGTATCTTTGATAGCGTCTTAGAGTGATGTTCTTTATATCAAGTTACGATGGAATGTATACTTCCCATGTACTTCCTGTGTATAAGGATGGTTGTGAATAGGGGCCAAACAGCCAGAAAGCGCAAAGAAAAAGCGTGCACTTGTAGGGAGGGCAAACACAGAGCAGTAGTGGTTACTCAAAGAGACACAGAGAGAGAGAGAGAGAGAGAGAGAGAGAGAGAGGCAGCCGGTGCAGGGTCCCATCAGTCAGAAAGTGTAAGAAAAAAGCGTGCACTTCTGTTTACACTGGCTAAAAGAAAAAAACCAAGTTGAAGAGAATTGACTTACGACTAGAATGCAAAAAAAATTTTTGCAAATCAATGTTTTTTAAATAAATGGGAGCAATTTTTTGGTCGAGATGCATACACACGACTGTCACACCCATCTAAGCTCAAGTGCCACAATCAGATAACCAGTAAAAAGTTGGTAGCCAATTTGAATATTAAAATTATTAAAATAAATATAGAGAGCAATCGTGTACGCACATACCAAGCGACCCACAAAAAGGTGTTTAAGGAGACTGAAAATGTGTATGTTTGTTGGCNTTTTTTTTTTTTTTTTTTTTTTTTTTTTTTTTTTTTTTTTTTTTTTTTTTTGCTTCAAAACGCTAAGATTAATAGGCTTTTCTGAAATTACGAGGGCACGGGGCTCCGCGGTTACTCGAGCGCGTATACGCGCAAAAGAAAGGACCTTCGATTACGCGAACGATCGGAACGAAAACAACGTTTTTTATTACACCTTTCGGACCGACAGTGACGTAACACAGGCCGAACGCAAGGCTTAGATTCCGCTGGAAAGAGGGGAAAAAAAAACAACATGTGCCATTTTAATGATGTAGTTATCGGTCCGAATCCAAGGCTATATTTACGTGTGTTGTTTGATTCGTGGGTCAAAACGCTCCTCCCCCCCCCTCTCTGGCGATTGTAAATTAGCTTTTATGTGCCAAACCTTATCGCGCGTACGGATTTTCCCTCTCCCTGTATACATGCGTAAACAAGCAATCAAGCCGACTCGCGCGAGTGGAGAAAAAAGCGGTTTACACATAAATGTGTATGCGAAAATAAGCTTTCTCATCTCTGTGGGGGTGATCCCTCTCGAATCGGGTGATTGGTACAGCATGAAAAAAAAAAAAAAAAAAAAAAAAAAATTGCGTTTTGTCATCAGGTCACGAGAAGTGCACGTTCCACCACGACATGGAGCTGGACCATAGGCCACCGACGAGGGAGGCCCTCCTGCCTCAGATGTCCCACAGCTACAAGCTACTACTACAGGCGCTGGGTGAGAACGTTGAGCGCCAAGGCTTGCTCAAGACACCGGAGCGAGCGGCCAAGGCTATGCTGTTTTTCACCAAGGGCTACGATCAGAGCCTCGAAGGTACAAGCTGTTTAACATCCATATCATTTATTCTTTTGCACTTGATGAAAAAAAAAAAAAAAAAAAATCAAGTATCGTGTAGTACTGAAAAATCACAAAATCACCACGTTTATGTGGTACCTGTACAAGTGCATGAAACACCGTCGCTGTATGCGTACACTGGAGAAACAGAGAGGAGGAAAGCTCTCGCCTCGAGTGAATTCCAATGAGATTCCGGGGGAGCTAATTCATTATCGCGCTTGTTCCCCCCCCCCTCCCCCCCCGTGAAAGCTCCCCGGCTCGAGAGAAAAGGCACGACAACGGACAGTGACGGAGAATGCCGTGAATGGAGCTTTATTCCCCCGCCTGCCCTCGCACTTGCCTCGGTCTTCAAGACAACGGGAGCTTTTTTTTCTTCTCTCGGGAGAGAGGAAAAGTGCTAGGGTACTCGACAGAATTTAACGATACTCGTTGGAACTATCGGACCTGGAGCTTTTTTCTTTCTCCTTTTATTCACTGTCATCTCATCCATAGGGAGATTTTTGTTTTCATTTTCTATATAATAAATGTTTAAGGGAAACAAAGTTTTGAAAGGACCTTTACTTTAAGTTTACCAAAGTTACTTTTATTGAAAGAGAAAAAAAAAAACAAAAAAAAAATCATCCATTGGACATGACAAACAATATTAGAGGACAATTGTGGCCTGTACGTGCTGAAACACCCCCGTACCGAACATACACACCGGCCACTCCTTGATAGTGGATGTTGTAGCTCTCGCTCAAGGTTGCCCGTGGCAACGCTCTTTATTCGTCGTCCCTCCTCCGCCACCCACCACCCGACAACTAGGTCAATACCAGGTAAATCACGGTCTATAACTGCAGACGGAGGTGCAGCGCGTGCCCATCCCTTTGATGCGCTCGGTGTCCCTTTTGTCTATGCACAGGTGTATAATATGTGTTAACGTATCGTACGATTGTACCGGAGGTAGGGCCATTATTAACTGTAAACGAGCAAAATAATGGATGATTTTTCATTATGGAATTTCTTTTTTTTTTTTTTTTTTTTTTTTTTTTTTTTTTTCCAAATTGTCGAGAAGCAAAACAGTGTGAGCTTGAACACGACTCTGAGTACATTTATATCGATTCTCCTCAAAAAAACTTTTCAAGTTAGCATCATCTAACCCAGATATTGAGCTATGGCAACTTTTCAAACAGAAATCTAGAATTTAACGTACTAGACAGCACGTGAAAAAAATGAGCTCGCGCGCACCGTTTTGTAAAAATAATTTAAAGTTCTACCGAGGGGGAACAGTGTTCATCGAACGTACACTTTCGCGAGCTTATTACCTCGGAAAAATATACTCTCAATAATAATAGTGATAAAGTAAGGAATGGTTTTAGAGAAGGGAAAAACATAATACTTTTCCAGACGTCATAAACGACGCGATATTCGACGAGGACCACGACGAGATGGTGGTTGTGAAGGACATCGAGATGTTCTCCATGTGCGAGCACCACCTCGTTCCTTTCTACGGCAAAGTTTCCATCGGCTATTTGCCGTGCAAGAAAATTCTCGGCCTCAGCAAGCTGGCCAGGTAACTGATGGGACAACACCAAATTAAATGATGAAAAACATACAATATCGGTACCGATTTTCCTTCTTTTCCTCAGAATCGTCGAGATCTACAGTAGACGAGTGCAGGTGCAGGAGCGCCTCACCAAGCAGATAGCCGAGGCTGTGACCAAAGCCATTCAACCGGCTGGCGTGGCTGTCGTCGTCGAGGGAGTGTAAGTTATACCTTTGTACAAAACATTAGACGAATATAATTAAACCTCATTTTACAATAATTCGAAAGATCGGTGTATAAAACTGCGAAAAAGATAAGGCGACGGCGCATTTAAAATTTATCGGGATTCAACGGAGAATTGTTTTTTCATCAGATATTTCATTCCCTCGGAGAATCAATGACGATCGCGATATAGTGTGTCGAGTCTCATGTATCAAGAGAAAAAAAAAAAAAAAAAAAAAAAACAGGAGGATATTATGTATCTACGTATACACAATTGTAAGATTGTTGGGCATACAAAACATCTTGTGATCGTCTGGTTTTTTTTTTGTACCACTCTTGCTTTATAATCTGCTTTTGAAATATTCAGGTCAATGTCACCTGTACGTTGGATGAATTTTAATTACCAAGATAATTTTTAATAGGAAAACTGAAATGACCGTGTGGACCAAAAGATTTACGCGTACCGATTAGCTGGGTGCCCTGCTTCGTTTGCTGGGGTACTACTATATTTCATTTTGATTGCTTCGAGGATCGGTTAAAATGGCGAATTTTTAAAACTAAAAATAGTCGTGAATTAAGGAAAAATGTAATTGAAATANTCCACAAAAATAAAATTTTAAAATAAACGCTATCGTTATGTTAATACAAAACTTGAATATGTCTAAGGGACTTTGCAATGGTACAAGATTACGAATTACAAAATTATCCAAGTACAACATCGAAGCTGAAATAATCACAAGTGAAAAAAAAAGGAAATAAAGTCTTACAAGAAATAAACAATTTTTCTTTGCTACCATTAAAACAATTTCCATTTACCTTAGCTTCTTTTATGACAATAAATAAATCTCAAGGTCGAAGTTTTGATGCCTTAGGGATATATCTTAGAAAACCATTATTTTTCATGGGCAACTATATGTTGCATTGTCTAGATGTACAAACCCAAAAAAATTTGTTATCCAAATTGAATCAGAAAACAAATTTAAAACTCAAAATATTGTTTGGAATGAAAGTTTAGAGTAAAAAAAAAATATTCCATAGTTCATTTCTATTTTTATACTTACTTGCAAATTTTTTCTTTTATCAAAAAAGCAAATCTTAGTACGGTCTAGTACCGAGATTTATGAAATCATAAGCAATCTATTTTATGTAATATGTTTTCAGATACACCATCATGAATAAAAATTTTATCAGTGTGACAAATGAAGCTCAAAATTTTCGAATTAGGAGTGTCTACTATCGCACGAAAAAATTCACATAACCAGTAAAAAGTTGGTAGCCAATTTGAATATTAAAATTATTAAAATAAATATAGAGAGCAATCGTGTACGCACATACCAAGCGACCCACAAAAAGGTGTTTAAGGAGACTGAAAATGTGTATGTTTGTTGGCACCCACACTTTAGTGTGTTAACATTATTATGCAATGCATGTACACTTCTACGCACTTGCTGGTCGAGAAACAAGCCAGGGGATTGATTTTAATAAATAATTTTCATTTTCATCATGACACAACACGTGAATGATCGTTCTCGAAAACGATTAAGTATTTGAAGTGAGAATTTCTTCTGGGGTGCCTTGGTTAGTGACCAAAACGGTAGAAACGTGCGTACGTACATATGTACATATATATATATACTGAAACTTGGTGGCTCTCGAGTCTCATTGTTTGCCTGTGGATTCCGATACACACACACACACACACACACACACACACATATATATATATATATATATATAAAATTACGTACACATATACTCAAGTTANATTAAAAAAAAAGATACTAACAATAATTAACAGATAGATATAATTTTAAAAAGTCGGCAAAATGCACAGTAAGTCAGCCATTTACTGTGCCTTGCCCTTTACATATACATGTGCACCGTGTATTTTATGTTAAAAAATAGACGTGCAATCAGCGGTCCAATGAATAGTTGTTTAACGAATAACGCTTTTCTCGATGTTGGAAAAGTGTTGGATAGCAATATAAACATTTATATAGATTTTTTTATTAATTTTAAAAATAATCACGTTCACCTGCTTTGTTAAAAAAAATGTTATTGTCTGTATCAAGAGAAAAAAAAAAAAAAAAAAAAAAAAGATTTTTTACGTACGGTACGTGGTCGCGATTCAATTGCTCGGTGTATCGGTAGATGACTTATGCAACGAGACGATGCAAAACAGATATATATCCAGCGATCAATTACACATTGACCAACAACGGGAGATCTATTTCAATTTGATATTCGTTACAGCGACTTGAAAAACCTGCATGAAAATCCCGTGGAAAACAAAACGGTAGTCTGAATCAAAAATAAAAATAAAAAATTTACATTGTCCCAGATATGCCAGGGAGGGAATCGAGAAGTCATGATAATGATCACCGTTACGACACTTGGGTCAGCGGCGTGAAAAATTTACCATATTTAAATACCTTCTTTTTTTCATACTTAAAGCACTCGGTGCGCTTAGGAATGGCAATTAGATGCATTGCCGATCGCGAAGGATTTTTATGGTTACGCGCACACGTGATCGGACAAGTGGTGTTACCGCAGCCGCGAGAATCTATACTTGAACAACTGCAGGTGTTGCATAAAGCGGACAACATAAATCCCTGAAAACTTATTATTAATGGAAATAAAATCGGTGATAAAGATCGAAGGATATACGGGTAATTTGTCGTTTTTATAAATTAGCGCCGATTACGACGATGACGCTTGACTATCCGTGGATTTTCATATATGCTATCACGAATATGTAAATTTTGGAATTTTCCGATTGTTACTCACAAGTACGCTTATCTCGATACTTTGTGATATATTTTTCGCAATCGAATCCGTTTTTTATCCACGTGACAAAAAAAAAAAAATTTGTCAACTGCACTTTTGTTTTAGGATTGTCAAACCGATGTTGATTATACCGATTATAATTATTAGATAATATATAAAAATAAATAATTATTACTTGACGTTATGTGTGTGTTTCGGCTCTAACAGGCACATGTGCATGGTTATGCGAGGCGTTCAGAAGATCAACAGCAAGACAATCACGTCGACGATGCTGGGCGTGTTTCGCGACGATCCCAAGACGCGTGAAGAATTTTTAAATCTCGTTCGTGCCCATTAATTAGAAAAATGTTATGAGTATCAGGGACGAAGATCGGAAACAACAGCAGCAGCGAAAATTTACAGAAATGAAGAAAAATCCTCGACTGAAGGTGAAGGAAAAATCGTTCCTCGGCTGCTAATCGACTTGAGACAATACTGCCGCGAGATAGACTTTTTTAAATTATGATGATTTTTACTGCAATTTTTTTCCATTTAGATACTCTTGGATGCTCTCGTTATTTTTACTTTTTTTTTTTTTTTTTTTTTTTCATAGTGTGAGTTTTTTTCTTTGCTTTAGTTATTTTTCATTTTGTTCATCAAGTACTACGAAATCGGTAAGTATAGAGGTGGTCCAATCACTGACAACAATAAAGACCAAGCGCCATTTTTTCCTTGACTTTATTTAAAATTCCACAGTATATAAATAATGTATGTATATATATGTACACAAGCGGACTGTTTTTTTTTTGTTTTTTTTTTTTGGTCAATTACCATAAATAATCACACTGGTCGTATAAACTGCAGAATAAATTGTGCCAGTAATTGGACGTCCTTATAAATACCCAATGTACGCGCGTCACCGGGCGCATCACGTATATATATAATAATAATAATAATCAGTCGTGTCTCTTGGATCGTCGACTGGCCCGATGGGCCCGAATCGCCGCGCTTTTACTCAAAACCGTCGCCGTGGCAGTGGCCGTCGGATGGCGGCTACTGCAACGGCTGTCGGTATCCGCCGTTGGCTCCACCTTAAGCTCGTGCTCGACGTTCTCTCCGAGGCTGGCCAGAGCCTTGCTCGCCTCCTCGAGGTTATGCAGGGCCCGCTCTAGCATCTCGTCGACTCGCGGATCCCTTTTGAAATTCAACGGTAGGAATAATAATACATAATATATCATGACAAAGATGCATAGAATGAGGGTTGAAAGCTTACCCGGTGGAGGGAAGAGGTGGCTTGGAACAGTGGCTCCCGGACGATGGTCGGCTCATCGGCGACGCGGCCCCGTTACCCGGCTGATTGAAGCTCGAGGCCTCTTCTCCTTCCTCCGCTTCGTCCTTGGGTTCCATCTTTACGACGACCTGTTCGGATGACGCCACGGCTGATCCTCCGGCTTCGTCCGCTCCGCCGCTCAGCCTTGGCTTGGTTGCCGAGCTAATTAACATCATTTATTATTGTACTTTAATAAACTGCTCAATGGCATGTGGTTTGATGAGTGATATCAAGTTTACTTACCGTGACTTTTTCTTCTTGAACAATTTCTGACGCTCCTTCACCCGTTTCGGTACGTCCGCCGATTTGGCCGTTTTCGGGTCGCTCGAAGTGTCGCTCGGGACATCTGGATCGGGAATTATTTTATCATTGGATCGGGCGTCATCGACACAATGGAATAAGCAAACCTTTTTCACCGCTCTCCTTTTCGCTCATTGTTTTTAGTAATTACGGCGGTTCAAGTGGACCAAACGATTAATTTGTTGGGTGATCAGCCGATGACATTATAATTTGGAAAGTTACGGGTCGTGAGCCGTTTTACTTGTTAATTTGGAAAAATAGGCGCAACCGTTATTAAGAAAATCAACGACTGTCAACAGCATGTGGTTGACCAACTTGAAAATAGCCAGAGACGGGATGAAACTTGAAAGGCAATTGTCTCTTTTGTTTTTTTATACATCAGGTATTGCGTATAACAAGTTGTTTGTCGAAGTAGCGGAAATAAAAAAATGGGTACCAACTTTTTTTTTTTTCAGTGAAAAATACATGTTTATTCATGTTGTCTTTTATTTGAAGATGAGAATCTCATTAGCTTGGTAGCACGTCGATACATGTAACAAAAAACGCGCTGATTGTGCGTTTGCGGCTCATCTTGATTACAAAAGTTTTTAAAAATATATATATATAAATG